ATGTCCTGCACAGATTTATTCACATACAATTTCGTTACAATATGGAAAATGCTACACGAACTTATATTATAACTAGCGACTCACCCTTGCTTCGCTCGGGTTCGTCCCTACTTACGTTTTGACGTTTTGTATAGATTTCTCAAAGATGAAGTATTTTCCCGCAGTAAAAAGTATGCTATATGTCCACCACACTGGCCAAGTGCGGGTTGGCGGGCTTCACATATCGTAGGAAAACTTGCTAGGTTCTCTCAGACATGCAGGTTTCCTCACAATGTTTTCCTTCATCGTAAGATAAGTGGTAATCATATTAGAAATGATTTACACGTGAAAATATCAGATATGCGAGACCCGGGATTTGAACCCGCTTCACTCGGTTTCCCAAGTAGACACGTTACCACTGTGTTACCACTGCCACATTTTTTTATTAGATTATTTATTAGATTTCCTAGTAATTCCATTTCATGAATTAAAGCTTTTGTAGAACTATTATAGTTTTAAAGCTACGAAACACAATATCAATCATTCATTTTAATACTCATTTTAATATCTACGCCATAGAAAAGCACTGCCACTAAAGGACATTTTACATTAGCACTTAATATTTTTTCATTTACCTATACATTTCAAATCAAAATATTTTAATTATCTCTCCGGCGCCGAACATAATGAATTCATAAGCTACATTAAGGAATGAGCTTAAACAGTAAATATACGTTTATTGCCAGTTATTGTTATTTATAGCAAACATAACAAAGCCCTCGGGGTTAATATTTTCTTATATTTAAAGTATAACTTGGGTGAAATTTTAAATTTATTCATCTTGCTAACTATCGCATACTTTTAATTCTCATAAAAGACCTACGTACCTAAGTTATGAATTAAATGAGTATTGTTTTTACATTAATGAATTAATTAACAGTTATGTGCATATAAATCGTAAAATAATATGTATAAAATTACAATATTGTATAATATCTATATTGTATAATATTAATAGCGACTCACCCTCGCTTTGCTCGGGTTCGTCCCTATTTACGTTTTAACATTTAGTATTTCTCAGAGATGAGATATTATGATATATATGTTGACCTGGATAACCAGCTATCATCATTCCAAATTTCATCAAAATCGCTCCAGTGGTTTTTCTGCAGTGCGGTAACAGACAGACATACGAATAAAAATTCTAAAATCTATAGATTCGGCCTCTATAACGATAATAATGTCTATTTCAATAAGATATTCCAAATAATATTTAATGTACAGATTCAGCTTAGTTACAATTTTATATATATACGTATGTATAATTACTATTTTAATACTGTAGGTAACTATAGCTAATAATTAAAAAAAAGAGAGTATTTGACATTCAAAGAACATATCAAACTGTTTGAAAAGAAAAATGCTAATTCAAATATAATACAATTTACATTTAATAATATGAAAATTTATATTCGTTTAGTAACTAATCTTCACGTCAATTTTTAACAATTCATCTTGAGTACGGGGGCGGCAACAGTTCAGAGCGGTGGCCGGATTTTAAAAGCCATTTTTCACTCGCCATGACGTAATCGCTTATGAACTCTTAGCTTTTTATTTGAAAAGTGGAGGAATTTTCATATTTAACGTTTTATGAGCTACTCCGGTGAGGAAACCACGCGAAAAGGCCGGACGCGTGCCACCTACTCGCCTAAATCCTCGCTTCTCTAACATTTCAAACCAAATCTTTTATTTTATATCTAAAATGTAGAATTAAGGTTGAATAAATGAATAATGAAAAATGGTTGTATAGCTTAAGTGTACAAAAACTTAAATTCTTTGTATGTTCTCTAAGCTCTTTCATCGTTTTACTTTTATATGAAACTCTCTCTCTCGCTACGCTTGCTTCATTCCTAGTTACGTTTTAACGTTTAGTATAGATTTCTAAGAGATGAGATATTTTCCCGCGATAAAAAGTATCCTATATGTTGACCCGGATTACCAGCTATCACCATACTAAAAATAAAAATCCCTCCAGTAGTTTTTCTGTGATTCGGTAACAGACAGACAGACAAAAATTCTAAAAACTATATATTTCGCCTCTATATCGATAATAATGTTTATTTCAATGAGATTTTTCAAAAAATATTTAATGTACAGATTCGGCTTAGTTACAATTTTATTATACGAGTATGTATGGATTATAAATGTTTAGTCGTAAACGATTGTAGAATATAGTTTAAACTAAACTTATTCAGACAAGCAAACTATCACAGTCAAAACCGGAATCTTAAATATACTTTTGAATCTTTTCTATAAAAACATATTTATGTACGTCAATCTATAAACTTAGATATGTTTTTAAATTATTTTTTTATTACACGTTCCGACCGTGCGCGAAATTATCGAAGAAAGCGTTTACCTAATTAAAATATTTTAAAAAGTTATTACCTTACGATAATTACTTTGTATACATTGTCACGCTAATTTTAAGTTAAAATATGTATTTTTTTCTCACAAAGCATAACTAACTCTATTATGATGTTAGTGAATGTTACAGAATAATATTTTTTTTGCATACTTACAGGTATGGATGGACACCTATGGATACATACAGCTTATGTGGGAATTATCGACCAGTAAAGCCAGTAAGTACTACCCACACAAACCCAACGGAACCTTACACAAGACGTCCCGACAACCGACTTACCGAGACAGATTACAACAACCATGGGGTTGTTACGAGTATAATTAGTTATTAGACCATATCGATAATTATTAGTGACAAAACGACTTAATCAGGAACATAATGATATTATAAATTAAGTGATTGCGTCACGACATCAATAACATTATAGAAAAAAACTTAAAAAAATATAGAAAAACCGACTTCCAGGAACTAATATGTAAAAATAACTAAACGGGGGTTTTCATTTAGTATAGATATCTAATCAGATATTTTCGAATTCGGTGCCAGCCGATGCAAAGCAAATCTAATATATTTCGATACATAAAATACATATTTATTATTTACCTATTAGATATTCATATCTTAAAATATTGTCCGCACATTAGGATCTGACGAAATGACGGTAAGTCAAGTGTAATAAGATTCTTAAATAATATTTAAAAACAAACTTTTGTATTGATAATACTTTCTTAGATTTACGCGAATATTTGACATTTTAAATAAAACTATCTTTTCGGATTATTTCGCGGAAACGTCGGGAACCAAAAATCAAAATAAATCCGCGAAATAATCCGAAAAGATAGTTTTATTTTGTATTGATTTCAGAATTGTGTTCCATAAGATAGACAAACGTGTTGCATTTCTATTTAGTTTAGAACAACTAATTGTGATCCTCGCCTCGTAAAAAGCTACGTAATATTATGTAGAATTTATGAAATTTTTAAATTCAAAATCTCTTTACTTGTGAGAAAATCGAAGTATTTTTTTCTTTACTGATCAATAACAATCTCAAGTACACGTTGAAAAAAATACTGTATATAGAAATTTTGATAAGTGAATTTACTATGCTTTTACAAAACATATCGATTACCAGCCATTAAATCGATTCGGTTTCATAATTACTTTGCGTATTATTAAACTATTCAAAATGGAATTATGAGATATACGCATAATGTTATATTATATTTTAATTTTAAAAATAATTTGTAATAGTAGCATGAAGATAAAAAAACAATAATTTCCAATCTATACTAAGAAATTAAATTGGCAATGGTTTTTAGTTTACCAAGTAATAGTAGAAAATGAAAGTTAGGATAGACCAATACGCAAAATATGATCAATAGTAAAAACATTTCAAAAATAAGCTTTTACAGGCTTGTTTTCTACTGTTTAGCACATTAAAGTAAAACCTTGTTTTGTAATTATTTTTGAAGTGAAACTTCTTAAGAATCGTTATGATTTGATACTCGATGAAACCAAAATGCGACACTAAAAAGAAACAAACACATAAATATATAGGATTTAGCCGGCGAAAGGATGAGATAGAATACATTGCCCTGTTGTCATGGTAACCGTTGTTATTGTCTGACAAATATATAATATTATATACTTTCCGTATATGTTATTCTATAAATATATGATTGTAACATGCCTAATATGCCTTATTTAATTATTTGAGATAGAATACTTACACAGGAAGTGAAAAATAATAAAATTAACTATTGAATAATATGTCAAATAAAATGTAAAATAACTTTTAAACTTGATAAAAACACTATAAAAAATAAGCCTTATTACTTATCATTATCCTACTCCTGATACTCTATATTCAACTCATTCTCTCGTAACCTACGAGATATACGATTATTCTGAAGTTTCATTTCTACTATATATGTGTGAATTGCTCACACACGCACTCTTTTGTTATTAATTTATTTATCCATTTTTTAGTTATCAAGGCAATGATATGGGCGTCCTATTTAAGTCAACTAAATCATAATTGAATAGGTACCTATATAAAATTTTGTGGTAGCGTGGTATCGTGGATTTCATGGGTGCAGCAACCAGGGTATTGTGGAAGGTTGGTTGTTGTTGTAAAAGTGGTAGTAAATATAAGTTTAATCATAACATCCTTACAAAAAACCTTCTTCTTAGTCCGTATTATTGTGATGGGCAACTACGGAATCCTACATAACGCGTGGCCCGACACGCACTTGGTTAATTTTATTACAGACCCTTTACTAATAATATATTTATTACGATAAACTTATACTATTTATTCCTTCTTCTTCTTTCTCTTTGCCTTTTCCTACTTTAGGTGGGGTCGGCTCTCCCAATTATTTTGCGCCAGGCAGTTCTGTCCTTGATTGTCCCTATGTCTATATTAGAAACTAATACTATTTATTCCAAAAAAAAATATTCCAGTGTTTACTTAAAGTTAAAATTAAAGATTAAAAAGTAATGAGTAAACACATTACACGTTTTATTTATAAGCAAGAATCACAAAAAAAATTGTTTAGTCTTAGTACAGCATTCAAGTGTGGTGCTCGACAACATGAAGCGTCTAATATTAATATGTTGTAAGTGTAACAACTTATGTTATTTTTGAAATCGTTTGAGAAGTTAACTTGAGAAACTGTTTGAGAAGTTATCAATTATGGCTTTGTTGATTATCATTGATCGTAACATTATAATGATTAAGAATTTGTTTGGTTGCATTTTCTTGGTCTATGATAAAAAAAAATCTAGCTTTTAAAATATACATTAAGTATATTAAAAATGTAATTATTTTAATCAATCATATTTATCGAAAAAAATATTTATAAGAAATTGATAATGACCCTGGCCCTGTGTTCGCATCAGGTTCGATTATTTAGTTGTTTAAGATAAATAAATCTATATATATAATAAAATTCTAACCAAGCCAAATCTGTACATTAAATATTTTTTGGAAAATCTTATTGAAATAAACATTATTATCGATACAGAGGCCAAATCTATAGTTTTTAGAATTTTTGTATGTCTGTCCGTCTGTCTGTCTGTCTGTTACCGCATCACAGAAAAACTACTGGACGGATTTTGATGAAATTTGGTATGGTCATAGCTGATTATCCGGGTCAACATATAGGATACTTTTCTGAGAAAAAATACAAAAACTGTAATGTAAGAGTATACTAATATGTAAAACCTAAGAATTTGGTTTTTGGTCATCTGAACGCGGGCGGAGCCGCGGGCAATGCTAGTCTCTAAAATAATTTGAATAACACAGTATGCTATAAAAAATATATTAAAATATTAGTGTTTTTTTTACTTTGATACCCGCAATAGTGTGCGCGTATAACCACGCATCGAAGGTTCCGTAGTTTTGAGCGTTTCACTTATGTTATATTTTAGCAAATATTTGCATTAATATTTTCCATCTGTTCTTAGGACAACATTTACTAATTTCTTAATTTTATGTATGTATTAAATATGTTCAACCTACCATATCACTAAACTTATAATACAATACACCTTTATCTCTTTATTCGCACTACACATACATGTGAAGGACAAGTTCGGTTGTGAATTCGTTTTTACCCGACTGCGGTGAAGCACAAAGGAGGGTTATGTGTTGTACCTGTATACATATACATATATGTATGCTCCCTCGTAATTACTAAACAGCTTTACCGATTTAGATGATACATACGTCGTTAGATTCGTCTTGATAACGTGAGTATCGTAGATATCATTAAACAGACACATACACGCATACACACAAGCACGCACACACGCGCACAAACATACACATAAAAACTTTTGCATTTATAATAGTAGTCCGGTTACTATATATTCTTATATGTAATTTCATGCAATGTGGCGTAGAATGGACTGCCAGGTAGCGTTTGACCAAAGGTCGATTTCTGGCTGAAGCCGAAACCGAGGGTTTAAAGCTCTAAGAAAATTTGTTCAAGATTCAAAGTAGCTTCAAGCTACAATTAATAATGTAAATTATTTTAAAACTTCAATTTTTGACTATACGAGTATAATTCTTCTCCCTGCCCATTCCCCGAGTTACTTGGGGTCGGCGCAGAATCTTCCAATCTTCCAATCTCCCCTATTACTCGTCAGCTTATCATTCACTCCTTTCTCTTTCATGTCCTGTCATTCATACTTATTGTTCCTATTAATCCTATATTTTCAACCTTTTCGTCAAGCCTTCCACTCCCTTCATTCTCCTGATTCATAAGCCTTTCAAAATAGTCTTCTCATCTGTCCTTAATTATCCATAATATTAAAAAAATAGCAACCTAAATTAAAATTTTTATTCTTAATTAATTTTAACTTCCTCGTTTTTTTAAATTACACGTAAACCGATAACATAGCTTGAATAATTATTATTTTATTTTTTTCATGTTTATTTATAAGTATAGATAATATAGTTTTCAAAAAAATTGTAATAATTATAATAACAATAGCTAAAATTCAATAAATAATATTCCATGTTCAATTATAACTCATTAAAATTATAAAAATGGTTCAAATTAAAATTACCAAATATTGTAAGGTAATTGGTTGCCTTTCTAGTTTTTTGGAATTCATTTTGCTATTTTGTGGGTAGGCTATCTGTAACAACTATATAATGCCTTTGAGATATCTAAAACCTTAGTCTCTCCCGTGACCATAATTGCTGTAATATATTAAGGGATATTAAAGCTACAAATTGATCTATAATAATACTAAATACATACTATAGATATGATAAGCTGCTTTATGATGAGTCGCACCAAATTATATTACAAAAACAAATATAAATAAATATATTTAATGCCATTTCATATCATAAGAATAATACCACGAACGTTATGATTTAAATTTTAAACCTTCATGGTTTATCCATAAAATATTTGTTCCTAAAGAACGCTTTAATGTTTTAATTGACTAAAATAATACATTATATCTATTTAAATATTATATTACTTTCAGTAACATCTCTGATACTAGGATTAAGCGCAAATGATGATGAGGCAAGACTTAAGCCAATTCTTCACGATGGCAGCAATAAATTTACCGCCAACATGTTTAATGTGAGTTCTTAATACTATAATCACAATAACTGTGTTATTATACTGCCTATCAATTCTGCAAAAGATATAGCAACCCTTTCAGTACCGGATTTAACCTTAGCGCCGCCCCTGAGCACTATAAAAAATGCCGCCCTATTATCGAAATTTTGAACAAAATGTTGAAAAGTTTAAATTTTTTTCATTATATTTTTTTTTGAAAAATGCATAAGAATAATTTATAAATAATATCAGTTTTTCGACAAATGTACCCACTAGTTTCTTCTTTTATTTCTCATTTTTTTGCAAAATAAAAAAGCATTTTCGAAAACGCGAAGAATTTTTTTCCCGCCCTCCGAATTTTGCCGCCCCTAATATTGGCGCCCTGGGCACTAGCCCCGAGTGCCCCTAGTGTAAATCCAGCACTGAACCCTTTTGAACGTTTATATCTATATACAGATGACGGCTCTGGGCATTGATTTATGTATTTTTACCAAAAATACCTCAATTATTAATAATATAAAAATATCTCATTTGTAATCATAGGAAGTAGCAAAGACCAATGCCGGAAAGAGCTTCGTGCTATCAGCATTTTCTGTTATGCCGCTTCTGGGTCAACTAGCCCTAGCGTCTGTGGGTGAATCTCACGATGAACTTCTTAACAGTATGGGATTGGCCAATGATGACGACGTAAGTAAAATTAACAATGATAGCAGAATAATAATAATAACATAAGAAATAACTTCAAACGTTCATCACTTTACTTTGTCTTAAATATTTTTTTAGTAAATCTACTAATATACCCTATTAAAGTATCTTAATAAATAATAGAATATTTTTTTCGAAAACTATAGGATCGTAAATAGATTTAGATACCTCATGAAAAACCATGCTCATAATATGATTTATATAGCTGTTTAACGTCATCTTTCACATAATTTTGTCTTATTTTATAGACCAAGGCTGTGTTTTCATATACTAATTCCTTAGTGGGATCAGTAAAAAATGTAACACTAAAGGCTGCCAACAAAATCTACATAGGAAAAGGTTATGAATTAAACGAAAATTTTGCTGTTGTTACGCGAGACATATTTCGATCTGAAGTACAAAACATTGACTTCGGTAACAATGTGGTTGCAGCAAATGAAATTAATCAATGGGTAAGTTACATCTTTTTTTAACTACACAAAAACTATAAGGCTCATTTATGCTATCAAATGTGGGACGTCTCTATTTCGCCACTATCGGGCTTTATCAACGATTTCTTTTAGAACGTTTGAGTAATGTATAATTTTTTTTTTTTGTTTTCACATTACAATTCGCAAAATTCTTTTTGTTTTTTAAAACATGTATTTTAGTTTTTAAAACATTCTCGCATGAAATATTGTATTAGAATATCAAACTTTACTGTATTTTACATAATAAATTTCATCTCTATTGATAATAATAATTATTTAAAATATTAAAAATATTAAAAAAGGGGGGAAATTACTCGTATAACATTTTCTGAAATATGCTCATGAGTAGTAAAAATTTTATATTTTCGTATTCAATTTTTGATTGCTACTAATATCCTAATAAAATCTGTAGAAGTTTAATGACAATAATATTAATAGCATGTTTATTATACGCGTTAAAAATGAAATATAATATTTACACATTTACAATTTTCATTTTGCTGAGAAGCAAAGTTAATTGTTGAGGCGAATTGGTAAAATGAAAAAATCTCATATCTCAAAAACTACAACGATATAACGAAATTATAAGGGTTCCGTTTTAGACTTTTGAATATCAAGGTGAATAATTCGGAAAAGACCTTACTTCACACATAACTTTCACACATTCGATGTTGAATCACATAATTCTATATCATTAATCATTAGTAATATAAATTATTACAGGTAGAAGAGCAAACAAATCATCTAATTAAAGATTTGGTTGATCCTAACAGCCTTAATCAAGGCACTGAAGCTGTTCTAGCTAATGCAATATACTTCAAGGTACTTCTCATTACTATGTAGTGGCCAGTCATGTAAAATTCTCTAGAATTATATTTATTGATTATACCAACCATGTTTTCCTTAGGGTAGTTGGCAGTATAATTTCTCGAAGGAAGCAACATCAGATAAAGATTTTCACTCCAGCACAGACGTAACAACTAAAGTTAAAATGATGTATAGAAAAGGTGATTACAACTATGCAGAAAGTAATGAACTGAATGCTCAGGTGCGTATTATGACGAACATTAAAAGATGTGACGAATATTTCTACAGTTTAAATTAAGTATTGAATAATAAAGCTCAATATTTACACATAAGTACAACTGTTTAAATAATAAGATTTATTTATTTATATGGACATATAAAAATGGATAATTGATTTAAGTGTAACTTTTCAGATCCTCGAGCTTCCGTATGAAGGAAATGAAATGTCTTTTGTTGTTATTCTACCACGAGATGTTGATGGAATAAATGAGCTAGAAGAAAAATTGAAAGATCCTTCGGTTTTAGATAGAGCTCTTAATGATTTAAAAAGAGAAACGGTGGTAGTTCACCTACCAAAATTCAAAATCGAAACTAAAACAGATCTGGTAAATGTTCTGGAAAATGTAAGTACTTAAAAATACAAGCAAATCAAAGAAGTAAAGCTATCTTTTTTATATTACTGTAACAAACGTTTATATATTTCTTGCAGATGAACGTGAAGAAGGTATTTACCTCAGGTGAGGCAAGATTAAATAAACTTTTAAACGGTGCTACTAATTTATATGTAGACTCAGGTACACAAAAAGCGTTTATCGAAATCAACGAAGAAGGAACAGAAGCCGCTGCTGCTAACGGTAAGTATGCAAAATTAAACATGTTTAAAATGTTATATTTTTATAATCTATATTATAGTTATAATATTAATATTATAAAAAGGTACAGTTTGTAAGTTTTGTGAGTTTGTTTGTAAGAAGTAATCTCTGGAACTACTGAACCGATTTGGATGAAAATTGGTATGAAGATAGTTTGAGATCCTGGGAAGGACAAAGGATAGCTTTAATCCCATAAAATCATCCTCCCGCTGGGGGCATTCGTTGTGTGACGAGCACGAATGTTTGTACTCCAGTCATGGGAGTTTATTTTTATTTATAATATGTATGTATTTAAAGTTTATATATGTGTAGTGTATCAAATATCTAGTATCCATAACACAGGCCTCGTAGCTTACCATGGAACTAGATGGTGCTGTGTGTTAATGTTTCAACATATTTATTTATTTATTTATTATTGCATGGAGATGAATTGGCATGCATTTTGTGTAATTTTTATTTAGCGAAAATTACTCCAAGTATCTTAAATTAAAACTCAGGTAACCTTCTAGATGAGCTAATTTGGATTATCATTGATATATAATATTCGATTTAATAATTTTTACGCTGGAATCGTTAGTTCAATAAGTGATAATTCCATATGTCATTTATGTTTAACTTTTTAAATAAAGTTTACAGATGTACTTTCGGTAAAGGTAAAATTTAAATACAAATTCCACATGTACAGAATATATATCTGCAAACTTTATTAAAAAGTAGTGTAGTAGCATAATAATATAATTTAAAAAAAATCTGACTGCACCGTATAAACATCATATGTGCGTATGTACTGAGTTCTATTTTAATCTCGACTGTCAGTTGTAGAAGTAATAAAATTATTATAATGAACTAGCGACTCGCCATCGCTTCGCTCGGGTTCGTCCCTAGCTTGCTTCCTAATACAAACTTTCATCCCTATTTTCACCCCTTTAAGTGATCATTTCCGGGATAAAAAGTATCCTATGTCCTTCCCAGGGTCTCAAACTATCTTATTTTTTTCTTTCATTTCATCTTAATCAGTTTAGTAGATCCAGATCCCCTACAACGTTAAAAACTCACAAACTTTACCTTTTTATAATATTAGTATAGATAATAATACATTAATTTAATTTCAGAATTCCATGTGTTTTTGTCTGCTTCACTGGAACCGCCTCCTCCTCCAGTTGAGTTTTACGCAAATAGACCATTTTATTTTGCTGTGAAGACACCATCATTAACTTTATTTAGTGGAGAATTTCACAACCAATAATACTTATATTAAATAAAAAAAATTTTTTGTCATCTTCTCTTTTTATCCATATTTTTTATGTTTTTCCTCAAGTAGGTACTTAATTTCCGTAAATTATTTTATATAGACTTAAGAATAATGTATAGATTTAAATGATTTGTTTTATGCATTGTGATGATTTTTACTTTCAACATTTAAAAGTTTTTTTTCAACCCGTTAGTGTCCCACTGCTTAGCAAAGGCCTTTCTCGTCTTTTTCCACTCTGCTCTATGTCAGGCGATAGCCCACCAGTCTTTTATAAAGGCATCTAGGTAGTTCATCCACGTACGTCTGGGAGTGATGTCTTTGACGTTTTGGGTAGTTCAAATCTGTGATGGAGTTAGCCCACATTTCGTCGGACAATAAAAACATTACAAAATCGAAATGCACAAGTATAAGTTATAGTATTTCCCATATGTGTTTTAAAAAGAATTCCCATATTATTTAAATACTTTAAGCTTTCTCATCATGATAGCCTTTCTTTTTTAAAACAGATATTTATTGGTTTTCCAGTTCTTGGCGTTAATTATTTGACAGTCATGAGTGAAAATATTATATTTGAAGTAGATCATCCGTTCATATTTTATTTATGTCAAGATTTTATATGGAAAAAGCAAAACAAAAAAAAAATAATCATTCAAAATACATATGTAACATTGTTATCTATTCTCTTTCGCCATTTTATAGCTAGTTCATTGATTCCTTTGCTGAAAAATGTGTGGGAGCGAGAATCGATAAAATCTCTGAACACCGTTTTGATTGCCTTGAACTATGCTAGTACCTTTTAGAGATATGACTTAAATTTTTAAAATAACGCTTTGCATCCATTAAATGCCAAGATATTGATGATAAAAAAGAGAAGGATCGTTTTTTATTGAAAGTCTTATATTATATCTCAGGAAAAAACGTCATACAGAGTTTAGTCATTTTTTACATTTTTTATGATTTTTTAACAAAACTATTACTAATTTTTTTAAATATATTTTTAACTAATGAACAAACAAGATTAGATTATAAATAAAATTCATTTCTTCCTGTAATTACCTTAAAATCAAATTTTTCAATAAAATCAATAAAATCAACTCCAAAATCGATCAAAAACTAATAAAATATCGATAAATTCAAAAAAAATATAACATAAATATATTCAACGTCACAAAAAAGAATGAGCCCTATCTGAAAATTGAACAATTTTTTTTTTAAATGTAAACGCCCACTGAAGTTTTCAGCCTCTCGAGACCATAAAACGTACTTTTCTCGGAAATAGCTACACATTTCAATTTAAATTTTTTTTATTTATTATATGTATTTCGAAGATTACATTCCCCTAGTTTCATGAAAATCAAAAGATTATTCTAGAAATTAAAAATAAAAAAGCAAGAAAAAGTTAAAAGCAGAGTTTTTTGCAAATATCTCGAAAACTTTGAGGTTATTGTAAAAAGTATTATCTCAAAAAAGTTGTAGATTTTTACTAGACCTGCAACTTTTGTAGAAAACAATTTTCGATAGAACATTACAGTAAGCCGAAAATTGAAAAAAAAAACTATTTTTCAACGCTTTGCGTCCCCCCATTTCTCTTTTTATACCTGATAACATTTTAAAGTCATAAAACTGCAGGTTTTCAATAAAAAAATTCTCTTAAAAATAAACGGATTCCGATTGTTCTATATAGATATTAATTTTATTTTCCGTTCCTAAGAAAATCGTTTTTCTTTTTTTGATAAAAGTAACTTAGCGTATATAAATGGTAAAATAAACATTTACAATCTATAATCTGAAATTAGATTTGCAATAGCTTTTAGTTAACCAACTATTATTAGAAATTTTCCGCCTATATTTAATTTTCCTAAATAAATATATTTTTATTCGATTGCAGTGACTTAAAATAATTTAATGTTAGGATTAACTAATACGCAAAATGTAATCAATGCTAATACATTTTAAAAACAAGCTTTTATAGGCTTATTTTCATATGCGCTAATTTGCATATATTTAACACTAGACCTATTTCGCTTTCCTCGGGTGCGTCCTTGAGTGCCAAACTGTAGTCCATGCCTTACTCAAGTCGATAGGTCAGATCAGGACTCTGTATACTTCCCCCCCAACGTGCGTTCACCTTGTCGTGGTGGGGGGGCTCAGTAGTGCCCGGCAACCCAACCGGGCGCGAAGCCAAGAAACGCACAGGGAGGTGGTTTACTTCGGTGGGCGGTGGGAGGTGGCCCTCTTCGGAGGCCAGTGTACCATGCAGGTTGCTCCTGGTACTTCTCTGATAGCAGAGTGGACTGTGGAGCAACCCCGTGGTTGTTGTGGTCTGCTTTGGCAGACCTGCCGTCGGGGCGTCGTAGTTGAATGCGTAAGCGATCCTGCGACGCCCCATTAAGACGGGGGAAGGTTTTGTTGGGTTTTAGTGGGTAGTACTGGCTGTATTACGCCGGTGAGTCCCACACGTCGTGCGTAAATGCATTTCCCAACGTTAAAAAAAAAAAAAAAGGGTTCTGTATACTTGTCCCCCCTAACGTGCGTTCACCTTGTCGTGGTGGGGGGGGCTCAATAGTGCAACCCAACCGGGCGCGAAGCCAAGAAACGCACAGGGAGGTGGCCCACTTCGGTAGGCGGTGGGAGGTGGCCCTCTTCGGCGGGCGGTGTACCATGCGGGTTGCTCCTGGTACTTCTCTGATAGCAGAGTGGACCTTGGAGCAACCCCGTGGTTGTTGTGGTCTGCTTCGGCAGACCTGCCGTCGGGGCGTCGTAGTTGAATGCGTAAGCGATCCTGCGACGCCCCATTAAGACGGGGGAAGATTTTGTTGGGTTTTAGTGGGTAGTACTGGCTTCGCCGGTGAGTCCCACACTTCGTGCGTAAATGCATTTTCCCAACGTTAAAAAAAAACGGACTCTGTATACTTTTCATCCTAATTCATCGAGCCGTTTAAGCCTGAAGAGTAACAACACACACGCACACAAATACATAGACAGAAAAAAAATATTTTGATACCACACTTGAAAGGTTTGAATGAAACAGTTTTTCAAGATATTTATTATTAGAACTGCAAAATATTCACGTATATTATAATCTAAGGCTTCAAAATATATAAATTATAGGTGTATATAATATGATTGTATGTATGTTTGTCCACAGACTTCTCCGAAACTAGTAATAGGATTGTAGCGATTCCTGTTTAAGTTTATTTCATTTGCTTTCACTCAGGAAACAGGAAATATTTTATCAAAATTGGTTTAGTAGTTTTCCTGATATGGACTAACACGTGTAAGTGTAATGGCCTGGCTTATTAATACGCTACGAGTATGGTGTCAAAGGGGAAAACATCTCAAAACCTTGTTCAAATTTTAACGTGCATAAGAAAATCAAAATGGTCGAAACCAAACTGGCAACTGGAAAACTAAAAATTTATAAGATTACGTGGCCCTTCGATACTTGCTATGGAAGTGGATTGTTATTACTCCACTCCCGTTTTATTATAGACCTTTTACTAATAACATAAGTAATTTTAACGATAAACTATTACTATTTATTCCAAAAAAAAAAATAATCCAGTGCTTACTTAAAACTAAAAATTAAGGAATAAAAAGTAATAACTAAACACATTACACGTTTCATTTATAAGCTAAAATCATATTAAAAAACTGGTTACTGTTAGTACAGCATTCAAGTGTGGTGCTCGACAACATGAAGCGACTAATATTAATATGTTGTAAGTATAACAACTTATGTTATATTTTAAATCATTTTGTTTAATTTAATACATTTTATTTGTTGTTAGTCGATAATTATTTTGTAATTTGAGAAGTTATTAACTATGACTTTGTTGTTTCTCATTGATCCTAACATTATTAAGAATTTGTTGGTTGCATATTTTTCCACCGAAGTGGGCCACCTCCCTATGTGTCTCTTACCTTCGCGCCCGACTGGGTTGCCACACGCTAATAAGCCTCCCACCACGATAAGGTGAACACACATCGGGAGAGATGCGTATTTACCTTTACTTCAAGGATTTCAAATAATGAAAATACAAACATGTAAATCTTAATTTATTATTTAGAACATTGAAAAGCTCTTGGCTGCTAATTAGAAGATTACTATGTTTTCAGGTTATGAAAAAGTAATAATTAAAGTATAACTAGATTTCCGGAGAGTAGGCGTCAGCTGTTATGAGCCATGACAACTTTATCCAAATATTATGTCAAAGTTTGTGTGTAGCCTGTGAGATCTTTACTTTAGCTTACCGTCCGCTTTATATATTTTGAACGAAAGAAAGTTAGAGTTAATTGCGTAATTACCGCAGATGTCGAAGTGCATGCAAGCATTTAACAAGCATAAACAATTATCGTTAAAATACGTAATCCTTAATGGAGCTAAGAGTAAGTTATTATTAGTTTTCATAAAAGAAGAACAAATGATAATAAAATGTCTATGAATAATAAATTCAAAAAACAAGTAAATAAAATATAATTTCATTAAAACAATTTAACAGGGATGGAAGAAGCGAAGCCATAGCCGAAAGACACATCTTTCGGTAACAGAGTCTATATTGTTTTCTTCGCAGTCATAGAGTCAGATTAGATTTGAAAGCCTCTAAAAAATCTATACCCGATTAAAAAAAAACATTATATCTATTTAAATATTATATTATTTTCAGTAACATCTCTGATACTAGGATTAAGCGCAAATGATGATGAGGCAAGACTTAAGCCAATTCTTCACGATACCAGCAATAAATTTACCGCTAGCATGTTTAATGTGAGTTTTTAATATAATCTCAATAACTGTATTATTATTCTGGGTATCTATTCTACAAGAGATATAGTATAACATATATTTTAGGAAAAGATTATGAATTAAACAAAAAAATTGCTGTTGTTACGCGAGACGTATTTGGATCTGAAGTACAAAACATTGACTTCAGTAACAATGTGGCTGCAGCGAATGAAATTAATCAATGGGTAAGTTACAATTTTTTTAT